GCGTATTGTCTTTGTTTATGGATATGTATATATATCACATTTTTATTTGTATATATCAGTGATAAATTTTTCCTCCATTTATTCGCTATCGTCGTCAAAATAATGATTTTTATTTTAGAATGCGTGGTTAAATCTATTGAATATTATTATTGTTGTTGTTAAAGTGGTGATATTCATCATTATTCGTTTACGTTTGGTGTTGAATAGTTTGATACATAATTAAGTCTTACCTATTATTTTCTTATTGAAACGTCGGTTGAATATGTTGTCTCGTTTACAAAAACCAAGTTTACGGGATTTTATGTTAATGCAAGGACAAACTCGAAGTCGATTATGCTTGGATAGTGCAATTTTTGATCCATGTGATAAGTTGACAGAATTAACATCTTTTGAGAAAGCAACACTTTTGTCATGGTCATCTGATAGCAACGTCGACAAAGGTCTTAATTTGTATATTTTATTGCATTTTATGTCTGCTATAAATAGCAATTCATATTATTATCATTACGTGAACAATGGAAGTCCTGATGGAACAAATATGTTTGGACATGTTATTGGTACATCAGGTAATATTAATATGAATATTATTTTTCTTGTGCGGAGTTGCCTATTATTGATAATTTAGGTAGTGGAAAATCATCGGCATTAACTCCTCATATGGATGCATTAAATCGAACACTGTCTCAAATGGACATAAATCAAGAATATTTTCAACATCCAAATAAAAGTATTGATTTATTATTTGAGCAACCATTTATTGTTTCAAATGTAAGCTACATATTAAATTACCTTTCAGTTTGTTTATTTTTGTCTATTATAGTCAACAGCACTTCAAGTATTTCGAAGTTTATTATATGGCAATCGTTTATTGTGTTCGACCGAGTGCGATACGTTACTATCAAATTTGGGTGTTTATGGCAATAAATATAATGATCCTCGGTTTTCTGAAAATGTCAATATGCTTATTCAAATGTTCGATGGAACTAAACATCAGAATCGAGCTACTCTTTCTACATCATACAATATTCCAGAAGGAAGACGTGCTTCCATTATTGGTGCAAGTGTTGGTGATCCTTACGCACGGGTATCACAACAACATTATGAGTAAATAATTTTTAGAAAGATTTCATTATGTTCTGAATCTTTTTATCTATTTAGAGCACATGGTGTTAGTGGTGCTCATAATCGATTTACTCATTATCCGTGTCCTGTAATGAAAGCTATCAAAACAAATTCTGGTACTAGTGGTGTAATATCGAACATGGTACCATCACTTCAACATGTCTATACAGTATCTTTTTTACTTGGAAAAATTGAATATATTGCACGACAAAATGTTTATGACAAGTGGGGAAAAAAAGAATCAAGTAAAAGTAGTTTTAATTTGCTTATTGAAATTCTTTACATTTTCTTAAAGATGTAATTAATTCGGACGTTGAAGAGAAGTGGAAACGATTACGACCTACTGCCAATCGACAATACCATCATTCATCATCAAAAATTGAAATTGAACTCGAAGAACCTGAAAGTGATTCATCTTATGAACATAGCAAAAGTGCTCACTATTACATGTTTAATCGAGTTTACGATCAATGGAAAGAAGCAACAGAAACAGAAAAACAAGAACATGAAGCTATCATTAGCTTTAAAAATTCCGCCAAAATTCCTCGGTAAATATTTTCTACTCTATGAATCTTAGATAATAAATTATTTATTTAATTTAGTTTTATTTGTAATTTTGCTCGTTTTCGAGCGGTTATGGATATTTTGTGGGATGATGATGTATATCCATTTATTGAAATATCAGAAGTCATGAAATCACCATATCGTGTTTCTAATGCTTTCGTCGAAGCTGTCAACAAGATTATCGACAAGCGATTTCCAGCACATTTACGTAAAGATGATGGTACAAAAATTCTTATCATCGAGAAAAGTACAGCTATGATGGGAGATCTATTTTTTGGTCATGTTGACTATGTGTCTCGACAATTATTTGATTTATCATCTATCCAAGAAAAGTTCAATACATCTCCAGTAGTATCTCGATCGTTAAAAAAGTATACTTTAATTCACTTTATTCCTCTGATGTTCTTTATTTATATTAGTGGTGGTAATGTACAAGAAAAACATGGTGATGAACAAAAAGAACATGGTGACGTACAAAAAAAACATGTTGGTCGTGCATCGGTATACGATGATGTTTCAACAATAATTTTATCAAAATTTATCTTTTTTTCATTATCAACCTTCAATACTTATAGACAATTTCACAATGATAAAGATCGATTGTCAAGAGCAATTGAATATTTGGTCGATAATGGATTGATATATCAACCAAAGAATAGAGATCGATTTATTAAAGGAACTCGTTCAAGTTTCGTAATGGCTACACCTGGTCAAATCGAACAAAATAATATGGCTATTGAAGCACTAACAGAATTAAAGTTGAATATTAATAATTATCGACAATTATGGAAACAATGTCTTCTCTGTACGCCAGATCTAGCAGGGAAGATTGATAAACCAGCAATTAATTATATTAGTTCCAATTTATTTGATTTCATTGAAATTATTCATCGTTTGGGCAATGCCAATGATCCTGTTGCTCAAGAAATATTAAAACCTAGTTTACGTAATGGTCTAATCGGTATCGATCCTGAAACAGATACATTTACTTTATCACCTGTACATGCTTTTGAAATGAAAGATGATCATTACATTATGAATCAATTGAACAAACTCTGTATTCCAGCCATTTCTCAAAAGAATAATTCTTCAAGAAATGAAAGAATGCCATTGATCCTTGATCATCATCGAAGTAATAATTCCGATACAATGATGATCGATTTAACTGAATCTGATACGGTCAATATGACTTCATTAATTATTGATGATGTTCAAGAACTGCAAAGACAATTTCAAGCATCAAAAATTTTTACCGATATTCATCCAAATAAAAACGATTCAATTAACAATCTTAAAGAGCAAGTTTCGTTGAATGAAAAAGGTAAGTTTTTGCTCTGTTTTAATGTGATTTCCGTAATTACTTTGATTTATTTTCAACTAGACAATCAAACTGCTTCAATGTCGAGTATCAACAATATTATCACAGTAGAATGTTCAAATGTATGGGATGTATTGGAAGGTGGTAGGTTTATTTTTTTCACTTAAATTCAAATATAAATATAATTCTAATTTTAGAACTCGTCAATAATAATGGGAAGGATAACGTCATTAACAATGATGAAAAAATCATCCGACATACAACTTGTACAAATGAAGAACACAGTATAGATTTCTTTTCTTTTTAATGTTACTTTTTCCTTTTTTATTTAGACAATTCAATATACGATATTAATAAATCCTTAACAACTGCATTCAACAGTACCATTGTAGAAGAAATGTCCACAAATGATAATATGAATAGTAATGCAGCAGTTGATGGTATGTAAAACATTTACATTATGATATGAACTTTCGTTTATTATATTTAGTTTCGAATTCTGTTGAAGATGATTATCCCACCGATGGTTCTATGAATATTCGTAATAGTGATACAAGTTTACAATCGCAACAACAACAAAATCTGGTTTTATTCGGTTTATAATACATTCATCATATTAACTGATTATTTTCTTTAGGAATTGACTCCCGAATCATCATCGTTGATTGCAATCGAACAAGAAAATAAGGAATCGTACAGTAGTTCTGAATCTAATTCTATTGAATATGGTAGTTAAATAACTAAGTTCTTTCTTTATGTATCTATTAGTAATATTTAGATTTTCATTCCAATTTGGAAACAACATCGTCTCCCAATACAGCATCTTTTGAATATACTGATGTGTCGAAAGATATGAATGAAACTTCCAACGAAGGCAAGGCTAAACTAAATAAAATCTTTGCTAAAATTAGTCAATGTTTATATGATGTTTTATATTTTTCTTTTGCAAATTAGATCTTATTGCTTTATCAAAGAAACTTATGTTAAAACCATTCATTGCATTTACAAACACCGATGTGACTCGACTATATAATAATGCTGAAACAAAAAATCGTGTCATTGCATATTTAAAACAAAACGAATTGATTGATCCAATTAGTGATTTATTTGTTTCCAATATTCCAACTAAAAAGACAATTAAACCGGAAATTGGCTATTTAAAGATGTTTCCTATTTCTATGTCCGCGTCAGAAGCATCTTCTTTTGAAACTAACCTTCGAAAAAAAGTTGGAATCGGTTTAGATGAATATGTTGACAAAGTTTTGAACAATGAAACATCTTCAACAAGAAGTCCAATTGTTAATAATATATTTAACACAGCACACCACAATTGGTTATTAAATCGTCATTGGTATGAAAAAATCAAAGAAAGAGAAATCACTGTGTATTTTCAAGACAAAGTTAAATGTCCAGAAGAGAAAATTAGTCCTATAGTAGTGGCTTCAACCACAGTGTTAAACGATGATGGTAAAATAAATTCATTCATTTCCTTGTTAAAACTATAGTTTTTTAATTCTTTTCCTTTAGTGACCGATTCATTTGATCAACCACGTTCCAATTTGACTCCTTCTCAAAGAACAAACAATGAATTAAAACGTTTAGGTACTAAACGACAAAATCAAACAACTAACGAACCACCAGCCAATCGACAACGAAAACCGAAACGTTTTCCTGATGATGACTTATAATGACAAATTATGCGTTAATGTTTTACCACGCAAATGATCCTCAATAATATGCCTATTTGATCTATTATGTATTGCATATTGATTTTGAACTTACGTACATTTGTACTTATTATATGTGTATTATTTTAATTTTATTATTTTCATCTTTATATCGTGTATCTGAATTTGCTTTTATATTTGTATATACTATGTCTATTACTTCTCATTATCGAGAAAAAACATTCAGAACATTGTTCTTGTATTTTTTTCTTTCATATTTGTTCGTTTTCTTCTTTTCTATCCTATAAGAAATAAGTAATTTTTATTGTATTTTCATTTCTAATTCTGAAAATATGTTCATTGTTTCTATGGTCTTTTACTTTTATCGTTACTCGTTATATTTGTTATTTAGGTACATAATAAAGAAAGAAGATACTATCCTCGAAGAAATCGAGCACATTCTTTATCTTGCTAATCTAGTTTTAACAGTTGATAATATCTAATTCAGAGTTCTAGATGACGCGCAAATATCAGTATTAGCAATGGATGTATCAGAATCTAATAAAAATTTCTTGTTGAATATTTTTCAATATGTTGCACCATCACATGTAGCTTTATTTTTACGTCTTATTAGACTTTATCCAATGAATATTGTCAGTGATTTTAGGAAGAGAGAACAAAATATTTTGGCTATCGTTAATGAAGTTACTGGTAAAGATTATCAAGCTAATATTTGGCCAAGCATTATGTCAATTAATCGTATACCACAATTAGTCGAACAGGTATTACTCAGCAATGAACATGAACGATTATTATTAGCGATCGAACAGTTACAAGCCAGATTTGCGTTACAACCTCATCGTTTTCAAATTTATCAACTAGTTCCAAAAACTAAAACATGTATCATATGTCAAATTAAATTAAAAGAACCAGAGTTTGATGAAACATGTATTATTATTGGTCGTAACAATGTATATAATGGTATACTTTATAAAAATGAATGCTGTGATATTATTTATAAATATGGTCATATGCGAAATCGTCGAACACGGGAAAGATTTGTTGTATCAGATGCAATTTTTAAACAAGAATATATTCATTTATTTGATCATTTAATTTATGAACGTATATTGATAATTGGATTTACCAACCTTATCCAACAAGCAGCATCGAATTTCCAATCATATACAAACGCGACTAATGCTGATATCGATCAAAATCGAAGTTTTCGTAAACAAGATCCTGTTCAAGAGAAGCTGCAACCAAAATCTTTTGCAACGGTAAATGTTCTTGCATGACTATTGATAAATAAATCTTTGATGTTTTTTGATTATTTTAATATAAGACTTGGACATGGTTTGAAATATGTCGATACCTTTTCTTCATGACAAATTCACAAACCATTGAAATTCCAGATATTATCCAACGTTTTTCACATGATTTATATTTCGAAGCAAATAGTCTTTTTTTTTATGAACTCTTCATTAAATTTTGGTCTCGTCATGGACGAGTCGACGGATGCGAATGTCATGCCAAAGATACATGTATGCTCAATTTTGTATTTGATACGCATATGAAGGCACATCGACTGGTATGTGCCCATACCGAATCATGTGATGAATCAATACCAGAATTAGGGCCTGTGGCTATTGGCTGTCCTCGTCCACCACTTCGTTCATCATCAAGTATATTAAAAAATGAATTAGGTATGTATAGATAACATTTTCCACAATATAACTGCTGATTCTATTTCTTTTTCTTCAAAGCTAATGATAAGAGGAAATGTAAATACTATTGTATAAATCATTACAATCATTCTTTAATTAAAAACGATTCACCAGACCCTTTAGTTGCTCAAGCACTTGAACGAGAACGTATGGCAGATATATTCGAAGCAAATGATGAATGTACTGTTCATCGTGACGAAGATGATCGAGAACATAAACGACGTACTGCTGGTTTTATGGCTATTGTTTCAAATTGCAATGTAATTATAGGATGGAATGAAAGTGTTCGTTCTGAAGGAATGCGTCGTAATACTTATCATCTATTAAAATACCTTCATTTAGGAGGAATATTACCACCTGCTGCTGCTTATGATTCGGCTTGTACATTTGTTGCATATTTAAAAAACCAATATTGTATATCAATTCAACAATCACCTTGTGTTGATGAATTATTACAGAAAAAATACTGTATTGACCGATTCCATAGACGTAATCACACACGACCTGAATGTAAAACCACTTTATCATGTTCTCATCCTGATAATCGCCCGTTTTTTGATAATCAAAATACACAAGTGTGCGAACAATTATTTTCGCATTTTACAAAACTTAAAGCTACATTACGATCAATTGCATGGCCATATTCAAACATATTTTATTGCATTATTTTCCATTTACGAAATTGTTTTCATACAAACATCTTTCCAGATAATCTATATTTAGCTGCTAAATCAAATATTCCACCACCTACCAAAAAATTAATTTCGTGGGTACAAGTAATGGTAAAGTTGCTATTTGTAACCCAATCCTTAATTTATATACTCATTTCACTTTCTTTAGGCTTCTCATATCGATGATATAAGTGAACAAAAACGATCTGAAAGTGATGAAGAAGATAATGATATTCAAGATTATATCTACGATTGATTTCATTAAAGTTCAAAGATCCATAAACTTGATTGCATATTCCACAAGTTATTTTTTACCATAATGACGTTTATTGTATTGATAATACATATCTCTCTTTAATTGTTCTTGTTGTTGTCTATGTCCCTTTTTATATTGCTTATTTTATGTATATCTTATTATGAAAAAATAAATTACAATTCATTTAAAATATCAAATATATTATTTTAATTCTATTTAGCATGCATGTCATCAGATATGTATAAGCATTGAAGACTATATTCTTTAGATGTTTCCTACAAAAGAAAAAATTAAATACTTGGTCCATTTGATATTTTCTTTCTAGTTTTTACGTGTTCACTATCGCAACTATATATTAGCACGTTAAAAGATATTGGTTGTGTTACCTCATGAAAGATCGTGAGAAAAAAGAGATTTTCGAAAACAAAGGTGTAATCTATTGTTTCATTTCAAAAAATATGATCGAAGTGACGGATTACGAACTTAAAAATATCTATGTCATAAACTCGTAAAGATTATCAAAGACTTCAGAAGACTTCATCAGACTTCGTTAGACACTGTGAGGGTCTAAAAGTATAATACTATTTTAAAGAATTTCATTTGATTGTACCATCAAAGTTTTTCACGTTTCTTTTTGCCATAAACAAAAATTATAACAAGTATTTTTGTTATTTCTTTGATATTGTTTCCTCTGTGCGTTATTTGCTACCGCTCAATATTTTTTAATTATAGAATTAACAATCAATGAATTTAAAGTATTATCTAATACGTTGAAAATAAATTCGTTCATATATTAAATAAACATAATGACTTTTTTGAATACATTCATTACGTTCAAGTATTTATTTTTACATGAAACGAATCTATATCACACATGTACAATGTATTTCACAGTTCAAAAAGACACAAATTATTTGTAGTTGGTGATTGCTACTGATATTGTAAATTTACAAGATAAGATATCATTCAGAGTGCCTGATTTCGGTTGAGAAGCTATACATATTTTATACTAGATCAAATTATGATTAATGAAGAAAGCAAAAACAAATACACGTTATGCATAATGCAGATAGAAGATTGAATTTTCCCACATGACTCAATTATTATATTAATAATTTTACTCGGTTATCAAATTTAATTTTTCTATAATCTTATCCTTTTATTACACTTTTTTGTCCCGATTAAATCTAGAAATCTTTGATAAAATGAACATTGAGTTTTAAAGTCACTCAATGGAATGGTCATCCAATAGATAGGTTTTTTGTTTTTCTTTGTTATTGAAATAAATAAGAACCAATGAGTAAATACGATAGAGAACTGTCCAATACATATTTAGTATAGTGACCGTCAATTATGTTGTGAATTACGCTGCTATGTATAAATGTTAGACTGATTCCATCATCGATTATTGATAAAAAAAATCGATATTCATCAATCAGCGATTTACAGTCTATTACTTTATCTTTGCCTATCTGATCTCAGTTATAGATTGTAAGGCTTTTTATTGTTTAGATTATTCAACTATTATTCTCACATGGTTATACTGCATTTAGATTGCATATTTATACAAGCAACAGTTGAATTTATATGATGTCGAATGATATCTCTAATGGAAATAGTTCATCAGTTGATAAGTAAAAATTTCATCAATTGTTCTATATTGAATATGGTATAAAAATTTATAGTATCAGAGATCATGTTGAGGTACAACATCAGAAAGATGTACATCAAACAGATTTGAATTCAAGTAATGATGTTTTATTTTGAATCATGAAGGAATAACTAACTGTTCATTACATTTTTTTTTCTAGGTAAAACATTGATTCGACGTTGTGCTCGAGGACGTGGTGTTCAAATATATATGGCCCGTCATGCTTATCGTGGAGATACATTATCATCACTGTTATCTTTGTCCAACAAACATTGTACTACTAATTTTAATTTGTATAAAGGGCGTCTCTCACCATCATCCTTAAGGTAATATTCAATTGTACCTTTCACAAGTATTAATTTAATAGATTATTTTGTCTAGTTCTATAGAAACATCAATTCAATTGAGTGATCTAACAGCTATATCCAAAGAAGAAGCACAACAAGACAAACAAGATGTTGTTGACAAAGCATGTTCATTACCAAATCCAATAGCAAGTATTGAATATCAAGAGAAAGAGATATTTATTGATCCAATAACTACATACAAAACAAAATCACAACAAACAGAACAATGTGTTAATGAAAAAGATGCAGATTCATTATTATGTACACAAGCAAATGTTGAATATATAAATGACAATATTTTATTGAATATTCAAAACAAGTATGTCATTGTTTGGAAAAACAAATTATTTTCACTGAAGAACTTTTTAAGGCTATTGTTTCTCGCTTGTTAAAAAAGAAAAAGAAAACTTATTGAAATAATTTGATAAGTTCTTTGACAAAAATGATATGTCATTTTAAAGAGACTATTAATCAAACGGACATATGAATGCATATTGATACTGACTATTAGTAAATTAAAGCTTATGTTTTTAATCATTTTGTCTTTTTAGAAATCAATTGGCATCGATTGAAAGAACTCGTCATTATTTATCTCGTCCACAAATTGAATCCGAAATATTCAATATGATCAACAATATCCTGTTATCTGATCCTAACCAAAAAAGTTCATCGTTATATGTTGCTGACGCTCGATGTCATTTTGATATATTATTTGACAAGTGAGTATATAACTTCACGGAATATTTATTGGATTGTTGAATATTACTTAGATTAAATTGTCCAAATCAAACTATTTGGAAATATTTTGAACATAATTATCGAATCTACGAAAAAAGGCATTTATATGTTATACATAATACAAGCTTATTTTGCACCTTGCCATTTTCTCGAAGGTAAATATATTCTTTTTATAGCAAAGCTTATTTCCTCTATTTAGAAAATTGGAAACAAAAGTTTTCCAGATATCTGGGACATCCAATTGTCTATGGCGTTGTTGGAATGCATCCATTATATGCACATCATCTTGATTTAACAATGGAGTTGAATATACGACGATGCATATTACATCCG